GGGAACTTTATTCGGGATTTTTTTTTCTTTCTGAATTCTTCGGGGCCTCCTCTTCAGGCAGAAGCGGCCGCTCCGGGATGCGGCTGCGCCCACAACGCGGGGGCTGCGGGGGCTGCTGGGGAGGGGGTGGCCGTGGCCGAATCGATAGGAGATTGCATTAATTATGATTTCGATTGATACGCTCAAGTCTCCCTCTGAACGCCGCAAAAGGCTCTTCGTCCTTCTTCTTTTTTTTTTTTCCTTCCCTTCTTTTCCCCCATTTTTTTCCCTCGCCCTCCCTCTGCCCCCCTCCCCTACCCCCTGTTATAGAGCCGGAGAGGAGATGAAAAGGCTTGTAGTTTTAAATTCAATGTGACAGCTCTGGAAAGAGCGGATGATGAATCTCCTATTATTGGATCAGTCTATTTGCCGCTCAATGTCTCTCTGTAATTGGAGCAACATCACTTTAAAGGTTCAGAGAGTAGAGCATTTCTGGTGAAAAATCCCCACAACACGCTGGTGAATGTTTTAAAGGGAAATCTATTAGTGATTTGGAGAGGGGAGGGGACAAGGGGGGCCGGCTGGGGGGGGGGGGCGGGGGGCGGTGTGCGCGTGCGGCGCTCCGGCTGTTCGCTATTTAACGGGGATCGGTGGGCTCCGTGCGTTCCCCTCCGTCTCCCCCGCACCCTCCCCTGCCCGCCCGGCCCCCGCCGCCCTCCTCGGGCTGGAGTTCGTATCAAAGCCCCCTTGTCTTGTTGTGACAGCTCTGATATTGTTTATTGAGGCTGGATGTCAGGTATAATTAGCAATCGATATGGAAAACGTTCGCTCCCCACACTGGCACGTCTCTGACGTCAGGACCGATTAACGTTTCTTATTGGTCCCAAATTCCCCCAGCCTGAGCTAATTATTGGGAGCCTGATGTTGATAAAGTTAAAGCGCCCGGGCGCCCTGCAGCATGAGCCCCTCGCCGCGCCGCCTCCTCCGGCAGCAGCACCCCCGGCCGCAGCCGCCCCGCCGCCAGCACCCCCGGAGCCGCCGGCAGCCCCCCCGGCACCCCCCGCCTCGTTAGAGCCGCCCCCATGATGGACAGCCGCATCCTGGAGCATCCCCATGCCCAGTTCGGGGGCATGGTGGGCTTCCCTTACCCTCTCGGCCACCACCACGTCTACGAGCTGGCCGGCCACCAGCTCCAGTCGGCGGCCGCTTCCGTGCCCTTCTCCATCGATGGATTACTGAGCGGCTCCTGCGCGGCCTCCGTGGTCACCCCCGCTCCTCTCATCCCCTCGGGCTGCGGGGTGAGCGCGGACACGCAGCCCTTCAAGCTCGCAGGTAGGAGCAGCGCCGCGCCCCTCGCTGCGGGAGAACGGGGCCCTCGCGGAGCCCCGAGGGGGCGGGATGGGATGGGACGGGGGGGAAGAGGGGGGGGGGGGGGCCCCCCGGTGAGAGCCCTCCCGGCGCGGAGCCGCGCTGCGCCCCGAACAATAGCGGAATAACGGCCCGGCCCGGGGCCTGCCCCGACTTCACGGCCGGACTGGGGGCTCGGGCCGTACCGACCCGCCCGGGGAGAACGGGAAGCGGAATCCTGGAGAGCGACGGGGTTTGGAAAACGATGAGCGACGATTTTTAGTTTTACGCTTATTTGTATTTATTTCTAAAAAGCGATACGACCGAAGAGAAACGCTCTCCTTCCCTCCCCTCCCGGCCTTGTAGCACAGCTATTGTTCAGCCATCAGAACGTCGCCCAAACCTCCTTGTGTCAATCCCGGAATATCTCCATTCAGGAAAAAATAAAATAAAACGTTCGGCATCTATTCTTATAATAATAACAATAATAATAATAATTTCCACGCTCGGCGAGGAGCGGCCGTGAGCCCCGACCGGCGCCGTCCGTCCCCACGGAGGCCCCGAGCGCTCAGCCCACAGCCGGGGCCGCGAGTGGGAGCGGCTGCGGCCGTCGGGGCTGGGGAAGGGAACGTGGGGCGGGGGGGGCTTCTTTCATCGCTATTATTGTTCTAATTCGATCCTGGGTGGCTGGAGCAAATATTGGAACTTCTCTCTCTCTCTCTGCCAGTGCCCATGGAGAGCTTCCTTCAGGATAAATGTTGTGTAAAGTACATTTTCGGAGGAGGCGAGGGCCGATGGGCTCCTGCCCGTTTTTAGCTCAGGTGTGTGCATAACCCCGCTGTTCTACCGACATTACCGAGCACGGAAGTTTGAAGGCTCCTGTGAATGGCAGGGAGGGGGGAGAAGGCCTCTCTTCGGGGAGCTGAGGGTGTTTCTGCCTTTTCAGACTCTGGTGACCCGGACAAAGAAAGTCCTGGCTGTAAGAGGAGACGAACCCGCACCAATTTTACCGGCTGGCAGCTCGAGGAGCTGGAAAAGGCGTTTAATGAGAGCCATTACCCGGACGTGTTTATGCGAGAGGCTCTGGCTCTCAGGCTGGACTTGGTGGAGTCCAGAGTGCAGGTAAACCCCGACCCGCTCCCCTTCCTTCTCCTCGGACCCAGCGACTTCCCGGGGTTCCAACCCTGGGCCGGGCCCGCAGCCCCGCTCCGCTTTGTTCCCAACCTCCGCTCGGTCGCTGCTGTTTCATTTTTATTATCTTTATTTCTTAAAATAATAATAATTAAATAATAATTAGAAATAAGCAGGCTCGCAAACGGGCCGCCGACAGTGGTATTCCATCGTAGGTTCCCAAAATGTTCTTATTTTCCCTTTGTAAGCGTTTCTCTTTCAACGAGCCAAAATGAAAATGACGATGTAAATGCGGGGCTCAATCACGGGCCGGGATCCGCCGGACGATGTCGGTGCAGCTCGGGGCGTGCGGGATGTTTTCAGCTTCATTTACCGGCCTGCCAGGCTCGGGCAGCATCTGTTTGCTTAAACTGAGCTTAAAGAAAAAAATAACAGCAATGGAGTCTGTGGGTCTCTCCCTGCTGCTGCGCGTCGCGGGGCCGCTGTGCCCGGGGAGCGGATGAGTTTGTCCGGGGCCGCGGGCTGAGGCCGCACCGCGAGTGCGGAGCTGCGGAGGTTCCGTTCCGCGGAGCGCTGCTCTCCGAGGGGCGGCTGAGCCCCGGCACTGCCCTGCTCGGTACGGGGCAAAGAAGCCGCGATGGGGGCAGCGAAATGCAGGGCCGTATCCCAGGGCTCGGGCTGCGGGCGTGGAGGGGCCGCTGTGCCCGTGGGGAAGCGACGTGCGTAGGGCCGACACACGGCTGCAGGGCCAGAGCAGGCGGGGTTTCAGTGATTTCTCCCCTAAACTCCAAAAGCAACCCCAATTTTTGGTCTGTTCCGGCCTCCCCTCAGCGCCTCTGCTCCGTGTTCTGGACGGGAGGAGGATAAGGCCAGGCGGCCCTTCTGGCTTCCCCCCCGCTATGCTCTGTTCCAGCGCGCTCTGCACGATGCTGGGGGTGGGGGGGGGGGGTGGGATTGGGCCCAGGCCCGATGCTTCTGCACCCCTGGGCCGCGGGGAAGAGCTGAGGGAATGGATGCTTTCCCTTCCCCTCCCTAGGTGAGGGCCCTGTGCGGCGTGTGTGTGCGTGAGTGTGCATCCCCCCCTCCTTGATTATTATTATTCTTTTCTGCTCCCTCCCGCGCTCTCCATCTCGCAGACATCCGGTGCTGGGCGCTGTCGGCACCTCGACGGGTGGACAGGGGAGGCCTGAGCTGCGCTTCTCCCCCTCCCCGCTCTGCCCTGGCCACCTTGGGGCCGGTGAGCTGGGTGTTAACTGCTTCTCGTTGTTCGGTGTGTAGGTCTGGTTCCAAAACCGCCGGGCCAAATGGAGAAAGAAAGAGAACACGAAGAAAGGCCCGGGGCGGCCGGCTCACAACTCGCACCCTACGACGTGCAGCGGGGAACCCATGGACCCCGAGGAGATCGCCCGCAAAGAGTTGGAGAAGATGGAGAAGAAGAAACGCAAACACGAGAAAAAGCTTCTCAAAAGCCAAAGCCGCCACCTCCACTCGCCCAGCGGCCTCTCCCTGCACAGCACGCCCAGCTCGGACAGCGACAGCGGCGGCGGGGGGGGGCCTCTCGCCCGCCCCACCCGAGGCGAAGCCCCGCGGGCAGCCCCCGCCGCCCCACCCGCCGCCTCCCGCCGCCGCCGCCTCCTCCGAGCCGCCCCCCAGCAGCTGCGACCAAACGGCAGAGCCCTTCTACCCCAGCCAAAGAAGCGGGGCCGGCCGGCTCCAGCGCCCGCCCGACAAGGACTGCGCGGCCGCTCCGTCGGGGGACGGCAGCGGCGGAGCGGGGGGGCCCCGGGGAGCCGGCAGCTTCCACAAGCTCAACCCCTTCAGCGTGGAGAGCCTGCTCTCCGATTCGCCCCCCCGCCGCAAGGCCGCCCTGGACTTCCCCAGCCTCCAGCCCTGCGCTCCCCGCACCCTCATCGGCAAAGGACACTTCTTGCTCTACCCCATCACCCAACCCCTGGGCTTCATCGTGCCGCAGACCGCCCTCAAGGCCAGCCCGGGCCCCGAGGCTGGGCAGCCCCCCCGGGACTCCCCGCTGCCCGCCGCCAACCCGGGCCCCCCCGCTTTCGGCTCCGAACCGGCGCCCGCCGGCGCTCAGCCCGGCCCCAGCTCCACGGACACTGCCGCTGGCCCCGCGCCGCCCCCTCCCGCCGGAGCCTCTCCCCGTTCCGCGGCCGCGCACGGTGATCCGGCGGCGGCGGCTCCCGCGGAGGGCGGCTCCTTCCCACGGCCCAAATCGCCGGTTCGGGCCCGGGACGGGAGCGCGACACCCAGGGATAAATCGGACTGCGGCCCTACGGAGGGGGGCCTCGACGGCGAGGAGGTGGACATGGACTGA